CACGTGATGCACACATGACACATCACACCAGCGGTTGTGGCGAGGCAGCATCGTTGTCCAAACCAGACCTCGCCAGAGAATCCAACTCTCAACGCTCTGTATTATAGTCGTACAGTACCAAATAATAGTAAATGTTCCCGCAAGAAAAAAAGTAGTAAATGTACAAAAATCAGATGACCGTTACAACCTTTTACTAATCCATTCAGTGATGCGATCACAGATTTGGGCCGTCTATATTTAACCACCATCCATTACTAGAACAAAACACACACACACACACCAACATTACTCTGTCTGTACCCAATGGGCTGGGTTCAGGTACGATTATTGGTCCATCAATGTCGGTTCATGTTGTCGCATCACATCACACCAGCCAGCCGTGATCGGTGCGGCACCGTCGCATTTGCTACGACACGAAGAGAGCACCGGTGCAAGCCACTGAAGCCAGGACGAGCGAGCCGACGGGTGATCATCATATGACATGGTCGGTACAGGGAGAAAGGAACGAGCCTGCCATGGCTTTGATTGCGTCCGTCGCGCGCGCGCGCACTGCTGGCTAATCCGCCACCGGCGACGCTAGTCCACCATTGATGGTCACCGCACTGCTACGTGACACCGACCGACCTTAAAAGCGCCGTCGCCCACCGCGCCGCCTAAGCATGAACATCAAACACGAGACCTATCTACCGATGAACACATTGTACATCATGACCACTAAGCACACTCCAATCTTGCATGCCTATGAACATTACTAGGCATGCACATCAAACACAGAACAAGCATGAACACTATCCTGCCTATGAACAGTACCACACAAGATGGGATTGAATCCAATCCATTCGATTGGATCGAATCAAATCAAAATCGATTCATTGGCAATGCTAATAATGAAAACCCTAATCTACAAATCTATGAGCATACGGAGATTTGATTCTTACTGGAGCGGGTGTAGCTCGAGCGTATGCCAACCGGGGAGAAAACCTCGGCGGGAAGGAGATGGCGGGCGAAGAGGAGGAGGAGACGCCAAAGCCGACGACCGTCGGCATTGGCCCGATGCTCTTGGCCACACACACGGTCGAGGAGGAGGGTGCCGTCGTCCATGGGCCTGCCGCGATGCCCGGAGAAAACCCTTGGATGGGGGTAAAAAACCACCCTCACCCACAGGGGGTCTGAGCAGTGGCGCGGGGGCGGGGCCACCGAACCCAGGACCACGAGGTCCAGTAACAGCGGCGGACCTGGAGCGGCCGGCACCGCATTGACCAGAGGAGGCGTCCTGGTGCAGATAGGAGACGGCACGTGCAGAGCCCGCATGAGAGCGACCCCGGAGTTCACTAAGCCAGCAACCCACCCGCTTGTGGATGCGGGTGTTTGCCGGCGCTGATGGGGCTCAGAGGACGGCGCGGCGGTGGACG